ATATATATATATATATATATATATATGTGTAATTTAAACTGTAGTGTTTATATCAATGTTAAAATTTCCAGAGAAGGACATATTGTAGTGCTGTGAATATTGGTTTTGTGTTTGGACAAAGAAATGGAGATGCAAAATGAGAGTATAAGTTAAATTCTTGTTAGACATAACTTATTTGTGAAGTTAGGCATATTGTTGAATGTTGATTATGCTAATTATTTGTATGTGGTATTTAAAAATATTAAGTATTTGTTTTACTTTCTAGTTTAGATAGGTGAACATTTTGTTTTCAGCAAGATTTCTCAAATTTTTAGCACATACATGTTTACATAGTTTATACATTAGGGAGTTCATTTTGAAACCAGGCTAAACTGCTTTTGCTTTATTTGTCTATTGTTCTGGGCCATTCCTCTCTGACATCACAAGCACTTTCTTGTGGGAAATACAGCTGTATGAATGCATTGTTAAACACTGAATAGTGAGCTTTTCCACTGGCAAGTCAGGTGTTGTCTGGAGGGTATCCCTTTTTTTTTAAGTGACCAACAGTGATGCATACTGAAAAAGATGGCATTATAAAATTTTTTATATAATTCTTTGCTCTCTTAGTCTCGAACAAGTTTTAAACACAAGGAGTAGAAAGTTAAGTTTACATACTAGAGAGATCTTCAGTAAAAACATATTGGGCTGAATTATGTTTTGTGTGTACTTGCATGTAATAATGAATCATTTATGTTCAAATTGTGTGCATCTCAGTCCAGTCAGGTAATTATTAAAGTCAGTTTTAACTCCGCATAACATTTTCTGTTAAACCTCTTGTTATTACCCTTATATCAAAGGTTATTGTGTAGTGCAACTGTGAATACCACATGTGGAGCTTGTGGAAATAAAAAATGTTGTTATTTGTAGTGGATTGAGCTTTCCATTATGTTTTTTTTAACCAAAACAGTCCCGATCAGCAATAAAATCCATCGCTGTTGCCTGTTGGCTGTTTAATATATACGTAAACATTAACTATGGGAGTTTCCTGTTAAAGTTAAATTTTTCAGTTATGGGTGTAAGTCTAACATGTCCGCTGGTGGTTCAGTGGTAAGCTTGATGACTTACAACACCAGAATTAATGGTTCGATCCCTAAGACATGCAGAAACAGTGCCAATATAAATTATGTAGTTTTTTAACGTTTAATGAATATACTTCAATGTTAGTGATTTAAATATTAAATCTTGCATAAATGCCTATAATCATGGTCAGTTACTCTGTACATTTAAGGATTATATTTATAACAATAATGAGTCTTTTTTTTTTGTTTTCTTTGCATGAGAGACTTAGAAATAAGAGTTTTACATCAGTATATTTTACAACAGGAAGCCCTACGCGACTGATTGGAAGACTGTTAGTGATCAGTGGGAGGAATGGACAGGTTGTTCAGTGGGTGGAAGTACCCGACAAGAAAGAAAGTTACTATTCTCCACAGATACTCACCCATCCCGATGGTCAGGTTTTGGTTTCTTTTATTGAAACTGTACACATTTGTTTTGGAATTAAAACTATGACTTTTAGGTCTGATCGTTTTATATTGTTAAAGCTCTGAGTTTTTTTTCAAAGTTCCTACTAACATCACCAAAAGTATTTATACTAAAAACAGTTTTTAGTACAATTTAAATGTCTAAATTCTGTGTTTTATGTTCAAAAAATATTTCAAATGTTCATTTCTTAGTTTTTTAAGACACTTTTTATTTGTTCCTTAACTTATATAAACAACTATTATGTTTTGTGAACAATATATATATATATATTTCTAGAAAATAATAATTTATTTCAATTATAAATGTTATAATACTGATATTCTTATTTTTATGCATGATTTTAATTTATAAAAAACCAAGTAGAAAATGAGTACAAGACAAGGAATTCATTAATACACTTGGAAAATATGGTTAAAATGGCTGTATGGCTTAAAATATTAGAAAAGAAGGAATTACATTAAAAGTTCTTATTCCCTTCAGTAATTATATATTGGATGCTGTTTTTTTTTTTGTATTTATTTCTTCTCTTTACATACTAACTAACAGGAAGCATTCCTTTTCTGACAGGAAGTGTTCCTTTTCTGACAGGAAGTGTTCCTTTTCTGACAGGAAGTGTACCTTTTCGAATTAATTGTCTCCTTGTTTTGACGCTTTGTTTCAACAGAAAAATTTGTACCATACTTAAAATATTTTGTGTGAATTTAAAAGCAAACCAACTAGTATTAACTTTGGACTTTTATGGAACCTTCTGCCACATTATACTGGTTTGGCCAAGTGATTAAACAGAAGAGAAGTCTTTCTGTGCCAAAATGGACTTTTTATTTTGAATGAGTTATGTTTCCTCTAGTAATATTAAATATTGTATGTTACACGTACCCACGAGGCTTACGTTTTCAGTTCATTATTTGATAAGAGTAGAGAGACATAAAGTAGATTGTGGCTACACACTTAAAGACATTAATAAGTGTCGTGGTTTTCAGGAAGTCAGCTTGTCATGTTTGGGACCGGAGGGGAAACGCACGGTGGTTCCTTGTGGTACATCAGTTTGGCAGATTTGCTGAATGGCCATATAGAAAAGGCGAGTGTGAACGTAACACTGATCGTTTAGTAGACTTTTACTAATATGTTAAGAAGAGACACCGTATCATTAATTGCAGTAATGTGGAACATGCTTAGAGCACTCTTAATAAGACTGACCATTACTGTTGAATGACAAAGGCCTTTATTTTAGCTTTAATATCTTTCAATTTGAATAGTTTAAAGTTCAGCTGTACCTCTTATAATAAAAAATACTAGTGGTAGAGTAGTTACAGCTGGTACTTGGTAGTTTTTATAGTATAGATTGTTTAAATAAATAGAATGACACAAATATTATTTAATTGATTATTGAAGCAAAGTTTTCCAAAGTGTGAAACTGTGAATTGAATAAATATTCATATACATATGCCGAATGAATAAATAAATAATCCTCCCCCCTGCAGACACCCATGGAGGCAGTGCATTCATGGCGAAACAAAGGTTAAAATGGGTGCCAACTCCTCTCACAGATAACATAACTTTCATGACAAGGAAATAATGAAGAAGGCCTAAAGGGACAACATTTCAGAAGTCCTCCATTTTCAGATTAGCACCTTTGTTACCCATTATTAGTAAATTCCCGCTATTTTTGCGAGGATTTGACATCTTTTTTTTTCCACCTGTGTTTCAAAGTTAATATAAATATTGTGTTAACCCTATCTTCAAAATGAATAATTGCTTCTATAATCTGGATTTATAGCATGATGTATTATAATACAGTATCGTTTATTAGATATGTTTGGTTTGTGTTAAAGTGATTAGAATTTCCTTATTATTCATAAGATTTTAAAGTACAATACAGTTTTTCACCAACTTTAATGTTACATATCCTTCCAGTCCTCTTAATTACCAGATTTATTTCAAGATCTAATTTTAGGTTGTTGAGCACATCACGTTTTGTTTATCATAGAACATTTATGATTATTCATCCATTATTGTTTTGTTAAATTATGTAAATGTTTTTCCATTGACATCTTAGGCTGACACGATTTACACGGATAAATACAAAGGGATTATGACGCCTCCAGTGTTAATCGATATTACAAAAGACGGAGTTTTGGATATTGTAATGGCCATGTTTAACTCCTCTGTGATTGCATTCAACGGACTTACATTTGAAACCATCTGGGTATCTCATTTTCCCAGCTCAGAGTCTTACAGGTGACCAGCTTATCAGTGAATTATCTGTTTTATTTTTCTATAAAATTGTTATTTAGTTTGAAAATATGTAGGACTGATTAGGAAATAGCCAGTTGAGGAATAGTTGAAAAATACGATAATGGCAACTTTTTTTACCTAATATAAGAGATCAAAATAATATCGTCATTAAAGGTAGTATTTCCGTACTGCAAAAGTTTCTGTTATTGTATTTTGAGTGTGATAATTCTGTTTATTTTTGTCTTAATAGGATACATAGAATTGTATAGGGCCAGAGGAGTGGGAATGCTAGATTTAAACCCCCTTCTTCCAATTATTTTTAAACTGATGAAAAAAAAAACAAGTCTGAAAGCAGATTAGAATTAAATTTCTTTAGTATGTTCTTGAACTAAAAAGTAAAAACCAACTGTATAATTTTTTTTTTTAAAGGTTACCACTTTAAGAGCGCTTTAATGATTTTCTTTTTATATCATTGTTCTTTTCTCTTGCTCTTAGAATTAATTTCATTCTGAAATTGTTTTCTCGATTCTTTAAATACTTTTCAACGGTCGTAATAAACTTGTTTTATGTTTAAAATTAGAGGAATTGGTAACGATATTTTAAACGTTTATTCTGATGAATGTTGGGTAGATATCGTGACACAAAGTGCTATACAAATGCAGTTGTAGGATGGACCAAATCTGAAAAAGAACTTCTAACTGGTTTGTAAATTAGTAGAATCTAAGGAACAGATAACATTTCTATGTATTTAGTAAACTATCACTATGACAAAGTATTGGTCAAAGTTTTATTAACTTCCTTTCAGAGCTTCTGTACTTCCAGTTTCTAAAATTTTAAAATTAAAACTTCATTTTATGGAAAAAAATATTAAGTTTGTGATAAATTTTAATTTTTTAGTTGGTGCAGATAATTTTAAAGTGCTAACTTAAGATGGAACAAAATTTAAGAGTAAACTTTAATTGGAAGGATGGTTGTACAGGAGTCAAGTATAAACATTTTAACTTTTCCATCTTATTTTACTTAGCACACCAGGAGTTGGATACTTCAATGATGATGATGTTCCCGATTTCATTGTCAACTACCAAACTGGTCCTGGTTTTCCGGTGTATTATTACACACAGGTCTGTACTGCCTGTCCTTGTAACTGCCATTTTCTCCAAAGTTTTTGTTATTTTTTCATTTAATTTTCTCCTGTGCTTTATTGATAAAGAAACCCTCTGTAAGGCTTGGCATGGCGTGATGGTTAGGGTGCTCGATTCACAATCTTTGGATCATGGAATTGAACATGTCACATGCTTGCCAACCCGGCATGACCAGGTGGTTAGGGTGCACGACTCGTGAATCCCCGTCCAACCAAACATGCTCGCCCTTTCAGCCGTGGGGGTGTTATAATGTGACAGCCAATCCCACTATTCATCAGTAAAAGAGTAGCCTAAGAGTTAGTGGAGGGTGGTGATGACTAGCTGCCTTCCCTCTAGTCTTACACTGCTAAATTAGGGATGGCTAGCGCAGATAGCCCTCGTGTAGCTTTGCGCAAAATTAAAAAAACAAACATGCTTGTCCTTTCAGCTGTTGGTGTATTATAAGTGAAGTTGAAGCCTACTGCTTGTTAGTAAAAAGTAGCCCAAAAGTTGACTAGCTTCCTTCCATGTAGGCTATCACTTCAAAATTAGGTACAGTTATTTTAATATATAGTGTAGATAGACCTTGAATAACTTTACACACAATTCAACAAACAAACCCTCTGTTGAGTTAAAGTTAGTATAACGTTATTCTTAAGTGGTATTAAATTGTGGTTGCTATGTGTTCTTCGATAACATATAATTAAGCAAGAGACTAACACTCAAACATGTAATTCTTCAAACATTTTTACCATGCATAGTTAGCAATGGTGACATGATGTGTGGTGTACAGCCAGTCATATACAAGTTGATACGTTGTTCCATCACAGACACTCCAGTTTAACATTTATTTGTCTTCGTTACTTTTTTTCCAATGCAGTAGTTGTTTGAGAGGTCAGCTGAATGTGGCCTGTTGTCACCTATAGGCCTGTAACATGATGCAATTTTTAGCATTGCATACGTTGATGAGCAAAAAAAAAGATGACCGACATGACAGATTTCTTACACACAGGCTTATGTATACTTTATATTATTACAAAAGAATATTACTAAAACATTTTTGTGAATTCTGGATTGTGTAATGCATGTACTTGTTGCACACATAGGTGCACATATGCCACTGTTTTAATGTTTTATTTATCAATGTTTTTGAAGAGATTTAACAGAAAATTTTAACTTGAATTGAACAGTTACAGAGTGGTGTTGGTTGTTTTTTCTAACTATGGTTAATTGGTGTGAAAATAATACCAGAAAAGATATGAATAAAGATAACTTAATTATTTTTTCAATATAAGTAAAATGATACATACAAATAAAATAGAATTAAATGTAATTATGATTACAAAATCAAACTACAGGCTGTATGGTGGAAAAATCATGTCACCACTGTGATTTTCTTTCTAATTCCTAATATTATAAAACTCAGACACTAATAATTGTATACAAATTTGTTGAGTGCCAGTTATCAGGACAATCAGTTATTCGAACATTGTGTGACTTGTGGTGCTAAGAGACGACATAACATTTTGAAACAGAAAATGGAAAGCTTGTTCTTTATTAATGAAAAGATTAGTACATATTATTGTGTAAGAATGACGTTTTCTGAGGTTTAATTACTATTACCCTACGGCCTCTAACTTTACTTTGTATGTTCGTCTTGAAATTAGACGAAAATGTTTCAATTACCAGAACAAACTCGCTGTAATAGTATGTTTGTCTCTTTATTTTAAGGATTAAAAAAATCTGTAATTTTAACTGTGATTGCACATATAGATCGAAAATAAAAATAGGTTTTATCTGAATCCCTCAAACCCAATATTAATTATCATTTTTGTATAGTTAATACAGTTCTGACATTAAAATACATCTTCCGCTACATCACCATGACTGTATTATGTCTTTCAGTGATGTTACAGTGTGTTGTTTCATTTAGATTACCATGGCTAAGTGATGGCTTTCAGCTAGGTCACCAAGTTGCGATATGTCTTTTCAGTGTTATTATTTTCACGCATTTCAGCTAGGCTACTATGGTAGTTCTAATTTACATTGAATTGTTGCTTCCAAGGCTTAAATTATCATGATTAAATTTTAATTTACCATTTAATTACCATAATGATTTGGTACTAAAGTATTAACAGTCTTGAACATTTTTTATAGAACGTAATTGTCATGAAATTCCATTTGTTTGTTACTCAGACTACTATATTAGATGGAAGAAATGGTCAGCATTTACTGTCGGAGCCAATCAAAATGGTAGTGGGAACACAATCTTCACCATTGGTTATTAGTGCCGAAGGTTTTGGTAATGATATCTTTCTTTACTGGGTATCGGACTGCCATGGTGTGTCTGGTGAAAGTTATAATCTAGAATTTAGCTTTGTGCATGGTAAGTTGAACTTTTTTCTTTATTCATATTGTTCAAAGTTCACTTCATTGACTGTTTCATTTATCCTAGGAGAAAGTTTAATTGTAAAACACTATCCATTTAAAATGATTGAATTTGGATTTTTAACAAACTTTTATCGGCCACAAACTTTTAGTTTATTGGTTTAAAAAATGAACGAAAGCAACCAGTGCACGTACTTTATGTTTCCATATATATATATATATGCCTGAATGTGCGTGTATTTATTAATATATCTCTCCTAAAACACCCTTCGAGGCTTAAAAACGTTTGTAGTGTAGATGATTGGCTTTCTAAAGATACAACAGTTTATAGACACCAAAAGATAAAAGAATGATATTTGGATGGTCGACATAGTTGACAGTTATTTGTAGTCAGTCACCATTTTTCACTTGAACTGAATGGTTATTTTGGCTTTAAAGAAATCAGATATTTTTGTATCAATAGATGCTTTACGATGTCAGGAAAGAAGGATTCCATAATTAACTCCTTAGTCGTGGGAGG